AAAAATTTGACATGTCATCATATGCATTGCAAAGCATTCATAAAGTAGAAAAAAATTGAATGCATTCACTAAATAAGCTTTATTTCATAAGTTGTTATTTTATGTGATGCAATGTGATTCAAAACTCCAAATGAAAATCATGACCACAGGGGTCAAATTTCATGTGATCATGTGAGACCATGTGTCATTTGACTCAAATAACCCTAATGGGCCATGTTACTGGTCAAAAATCAAAGTTAAGTCAAAAGGAAAACAAATTAAATTTGAATTCAACTTTAAATTATAAAAGTCTTTTTTGCCCCCTTTTTATATTTCAAAATCCATTTGGAATTTGGGGGTGTGACAAAAAGCAAAGTTGAAGCTTATTTTATAAGAATCAACTTTGGTATTCAAAGTTTTTAAAGTTTACATATAAAGTTTGGAGTAATTTTGAAATGATTCAAATGCTCAAATGCACTCCAAATTCAAATTTTAAAATGGAGGCAGAATTTGAAAATATTCCTTGAAGCAAAGTTGTAGAGTTTGAAAAGTTGAGCAACTTTCATTTTTGGAGATTTTCATCTTCTTTAGAAAATTTGAGAGTAATTTGCAAAAAGAACTCAGTGGCAATTCTATAAATACTTCAAAAATCAAAACCAAGCCGAGCGCCACCTCCCTGCTTGCCGCCGGCGCCACGCAGCTGCCACCGCCGATCGTTTTTCGCCGCTTTCTCGTGCAGTGACACGCAGCAGGCTCCGTGGCGAGCTCGTGCATGAGCTGTCGATGCCGGACACGTCATTCCCTGCTATAAATAGGAGCACCACCGCCGCCGTCATCCTCCTTTTTCCTCTCTGCTCTGCTCCGCCGCTCGCCGTAGCCGCTGTTGAACCGCATCCGTCGTGCCTAGCTACACCAGCGTGATCGCCTTGACCTTGCGCTCCTCTTCAGCTTGCTCGCATCGCTTGGGTTGGCCGGAATCGCCCGGCGCAACGCGTTCTTCCCCGTGACCAGCCGGAGCTCCGCCACCATCGACCTCACCGTGGCCACGTCGTTCCAGCCCGTCTCCGTCTTCACCAAGCACACCGGTGTGATCGTGGTGAGCTCCTGAGCGTGATACTCGCTTCGCTTTAGCCTCTACTACATCGTAACCATAGTTACGTCGTGCGCCGTCGTGCCCGCGCCGCCATGTCCGGCGTGGAGCTCTCTCCGGTGCGTCTGCTGTCTTTCTGAAGGCTGGGATAGATTCGTGGGGTAGGGTAGGTCATACAGATGCGGTCCGCCTCGCCGGAGCATCACCGCCGTCGCGTTTTGGCCGACCGGTGATGGCAGCGCCGCCGTATCCTTGTTCTGTGTCACTGACGAGCGGAGCCTGGCTGTCAGAGAGAGAGAGAGAGAATAGTGAGATTTGGTTATTTCTGAATTTTGAATATTGCGGAAACTTTGGAAATTTGTAGGAAAATAATTACAGCTCCAAAAATTCTAAAAATTTGTGTGTAGCTTCTGTAAATGTTCTATTATGGTTTAAAAATATGAAACTTAAAATTTGAATAAATTTTTAATGTTTAAAAATTCAGTCAATTAATTGATAAATGTAATTTCCATAATTTTTGTAGGTCATTGTATAACTTCAAAAATTATGAAATTTATTTTGGTATACTAATTTGTCATGAGGAAGCTTACATAAAATTTTGAGGTCATTTGGAATAAATTCATTTTTGGCTTATTTCCGAATTAATTCAAAAATGAATAAAAACAAACCCTAAGTGTTAGGTTTAGGGTTTGATTTTGTTTGGGTCATGTTTTGTGACCAGTAGGGTTTCAAGATCAATTTGGTCAAGTCACTTAGGTCATAAACCCTAGATGTTAGTGTCAATTGGTTTTGATCTACAACTATATCGCGAAGGAAAGTTGTATTCAAGGTGTTATTACATTTTATGTACCATAAAAGCATCATGTTTACATTATCATCATGTTGAAGCATATGCTATTATTTCGTGTAGAATCCGAGAGTGAACCGATTCTAGTTGAGCAAGTTGTGGAAGAATCCCCGGTTGTCTCAGGATTTGATATTTGCGGTACTGATCCGAAACCCGAGATCGTCAACGAAGGCAAGCCCCGGTTTATGCATTAAACCATTACCTTGTTTACTTTAAAAAGTTTATCACCTATGTTACTTATTGCATTAAGTTGATTAATTCAAATGTTACCTACTTGATGCATTGCCTACCTTGTTAATTATTTACCATCCTTGAAGATGATTTCATTTACAAAAGGCGTAGAATTGCTTAGTATGCTTTATGGTAGGCTTTCAAAGTAAAAGTTTTGATACAATCAAAGATGGCATACTGGCCAAAGAAAGAAAGAAAGAAGATAGAATGAACTAGAGACTAGTCGGGTGACTTATCTTGAATGTTGGGTAATGTTGCCGACTATGTCGCCTAAAGGCCACTCATTGTGGATCTTCTGAACGAGACACTTTGTAGTACTGGTCACATACTCCGGAGGGCGGCGACGACGACCAGAGGGGAGGCCAGGAGGGGGGGGGCGAGCTCGGTGGCCGACGTCGTCGCCCCGGAGTCGCCCGTTGGGGGGCGCTGGGGGGAAGGGAAGGGAAGAAAACGAGAAGGGTCTGGCCAGCCAATTTTGGTTGCATTGCCATCAGAAAAGTGTTTTTTCTGTTGTTCTAACATTTTAGCTTTTGTCGGGGTTGTAGCTTTTTGTAACTAGTTTTTTCAGCTATTTTCTATCTATTTATATATGCCAAGCAGATCTCTTATAAATAGCTCTTTTTTCTATACTAAATATTAAAAAGATAATTTCAGCCACTTTAAAATTTTCGTCCAACCTAAACACCAGTCTTGTCTCCGTGTCTAATTTTTGTTCGTTTGTTTCTTCTCCCACTGATTTCTCTTCTTTCTTCTCCCGCTTGTAGGTTGGGTTCCGTTGGGGTCTCACGAAAGTGCTGCCCTGTCCCCTGGTGATGTCCCGTGCCGTTTGCGTGTTTTTTTTACTTCCTAATGAAACAACTCTATTTTTCCTTATAAAGATAAAGATAAATAATAAATACAGTATTACGGGTCTTTGAAACTTTGATCTTTACTTAATAAACAAATATTTCTATTACTAAGGGCACCTACAATAGTAAGAATTACTTACTAGCTCTAAGATAACTTTTTCAATAATGCTAACTTTTAGCATATACACCCTCCGTTTCAAACTAAAAGTCACTTTAAATTTTTTGGTACATCCAATTTGTTATGCATCTAAATAAATAATATGTCTAGATACATAGCAAAATAGATAAACCAAAAAAATAGGTTATTCTATAGCCACCTCCATTTACGATAATTTTATAAATAATATGTCTAGATATGTCTAAAATATATATATGAAGAGTATATTCAGTAGCCAGCTACAAAATAAGTTATTCTATAGCCACCTCCATTTACGATAATTTTATATACTAATTTACGATAATGTCAATACATATTTACGATAGTGGGGTTACTATAACATATGGGGATATTTACTATAACGTTATAGTAAACCACTTAGTAAGGAGTTACTATAATCTCGTAAATTAACATAGTAATTATCGTAACTCAAAGTGGCTACAGAATAAGTATATATATATTATGAAAACTAAAGTTTTTGCATGTAAATATGTTGTTCCTTACAATGAAAGAAAAAATCTATCTCGTATTTTAATTCAATACATAATTCATAGGACATTGTATTATTATTGTTAATATTAACGTATATTATGGATATCATGGTCATCATAAAATAAAGTATTGCTTTTAAATTTTATAGGAAGATGAAAAGATGAATAGATATGTAACATTGCCATCCTTGTTTCGATTAATGAGCCCGTTCGTTTGTGATTGCTGCAGCAACCGCTCACAATATCAAAAGTAGAGCCTAACAAATTAAGTTGTTGTGAGTTGTGCAACAAATGAAGCGAACAGGTTAAACATTTGATAGTTTTTTCTTCCATTGTGGTGCATGGGTATATTTGCTAGTTAAAAAAAAAAGACAAACTTTGGGCCTTTGCATCATCAGGTTTGATGAGAAAGGTAAGGATATACTAAGTGCGTAGACTGTCATCCCATCGAGCAAAACCAAAAAAAGAAAATAAAACTCTGTGCTGAAGGCCACGCCAAGAAAGATCCATTGGGCTCATGCTGCGGACCTTTCCCCGGCCACGCTCATGAACAGCGCACAGGCTTACAGACAATTTCGGCTAACCATCGCGCACTGAAAGGAGAGCCCACGACGCATCCTGTCCTGAGTCTGGCCCGGCTGCGCTTTCTTCAGGTCAGCCACGTTACATGTTCTTCCTTTTCCTTGTGCATCCAATTTTTTCCGTGTTTGGACTGGTTTCGTTTGTGAATTACGCGCACTTGCGCAGGCCTTGCACCACGATTTTTGCAAAAAGGAAGTGACTACCTATCATTCGGCTGAATTCTGTTTGTGTTTCGGTCGATTTTTTTTTTTTTTTGTCAACCATTCAGAACATGACGCATGCACGTAGAGCCGATAAGTACGAATATTTTTCCAATCGGCAAAGACAAATTCTAAAAACAGACGTCAACTAAAAAAGAGCCGTACGACATATGAGACCAAAACCCGTTGTCGTCGTGGGTCAAGATGTAAAAATCCAATAACAGACCATCCTTGAAGGACAAGAAAGAAAGACACCTAAAGGAAGGGGGGAGAACAGACCGACCCATCCAGAAAAATATCTGTTACGTCAGGCAGAAAGAGGAGAAGGGGACAGATGAGGACGAAAGGGAAAGCAAAACCAAAACCAGAAGAACATGCAGATCAAGACGATGAATCAACTGAAAATAAGGTTTACTTATAATATTTCGTCACTATCTGCTATCCCCAATCTTTGGACTTGAAAACTGCATTTCATCAATCATGCTTACAACTTTGGGGATCAAGTACAGACTCCTAGTAAATCAAATGAACCACCAACAAATGTACCAAAAAACATTATATTGGCTGAAGCTCCTCTAGAATGGCATCCCCACAGGGGGGTCTGTTTTATCATGGCGCTGCCTCTCCACCGCTGCATCACCGCATGGTAAGGTGGTTGGCATGCAAAAGTGTGGCCAAAAGTCATAGTCAGACCTCAGCTTCTCAGCGACCTCCATGAAGTCTGTAAATTCGGTGCCACTGAATTCTGTGAAGATTCCAACCTATAAAATTGCAATTATTATGTACAGTCAGTTGTCAGCTCAAGAGGATCACTTGGCCTGCTCATCATAATACAGATTAAGTAACTACTGAATAAAAACAGGTGAAAATTTTGAACTGGAAGCTTACAGTGTAGGTCTTCTTGTCATCGAAATGGGTCGCAACATCTTCCGGAGACTTTAGCTCCTTGGACGCAGGGCCAACCTGCTTCCTCAAGTAATACACAATGCCATCAGCCTCCCTAGGGCCCTTGTATTCCTGAATGTTCTTCCCCTGGTTCCTGAAGATCATGATGGTTGGGAAACCTTGGATCTCGTACTTGGTAGCAAGCGGCTTGTTCTTCTCCTCGTTAGCATCAACCTTAGCGAGAACAATCGGTGGGTCATGCTTGCTAAGTGCCTGGGCCGCCTTATCATACTGAAACATCAAAGAAAACGCAGCTTAGCATATGAGATCAAACCAATCAGAACACAGCCCTTCTGTAAGTAAAGGGAGTGACCACGGGATAGGAGAAGCATTACATGTGGAGCAAGGTTCTTGCAATGCCCACACCTGCAAATTCGATTCGACCACATTAGATATAACAATTAATAGAGACCATGTAACGATAGCATCAGTAAAAACACAGAAGTAACAAATCAGTAAGGTTGCAACTTGCAAGTGTGCCCCAACAGTAATCACACAGAAGCAACAGCACATCAGTATAGTTGCAAGTGCCAAGTGCAGGCCTAATATTGTACATGTGACAAGAAAAAAAAAGAGCATCACACAGACGTCAAAATCAAGCATACCAACCGCAGAAAACGAACAAGATATTAAACCGAAATATAATTTGTCACATGGTCACACAGGTATAAAGTAGCACTGCACTTAAACTGCACAACACTGAAGACTTCAATTCAAATTTTTTTAGATTTAGATATTAGGTGTATGAGTAAAATGTAATTCTAAAAATGCTAAATGGGCAAGCCTAGTTCAAGAAACTAGATTGAAACTCACAAAAAACTGAGCCAATAATTGAATACCCAACACTCAAGGTCTCATATATACAAGCAGAAGTGGAAACTCTTTAATAATATATAGCACCCAGAGGAGAACAAAATCACATTACTAAAATAAAACACTTCAGGCATCAGCGCAACATCATGCTAGCAGGAGCAAGCTCAAGTCGATGGATGCATGCCCTGAAAATAAATTCTACTCGATTTGAGGTTCAGAGTTCCATTTTTCCCTTCAAGGTTCAGTGTTTCAGACCTTTTCTACATTCTGCTGCGTGAATGCATCTTATCTGGTAGAGTACCAAAATTACAATATAAGCTTCAGGAACCATGTGGCACAACAAATACAAGTACAACCTAATTGTGATGCACAAAAACATATCACTCCAATGGATTAACCATCACTCATTGAACTGAAACTAATAGGAACATTTATACTGAAAAAACAGACACCCGAAAAACATAACTGAAACTAAAGAAGATGTACGTGTAGATGATGAGCAGGCCTTAACAAGAAATCCTATCGCGCTCGTGCGTGCTCTATAGAGAAGGACGCACGCACGCTGGCCTCTGCGGAGTGCAGACTGCGGTACAGGGTTGCAGCGACAGCATGTCTTCCTGCTCGCCAACGGCCGAACAGCCCTAGAGAGACGGGCCTACACCACTAAACGAGGTGCAAAAAGCCGCCGCCACCCCACCACGCCTTGCAGAATGGATTCTAGCAGTAGCTCACGCTCACTGCAAGCTGACGGAGGCACGAGATGGGGCTACGTGAATCATATTACTACATTACAAAAAAAAACTTGCTCAGAAACTGAAACTGAAGAAAAAAAGAAATACTAAAACTGAACCACAGACAAAACAAACAAATCAAACTGACCCTATTGGAAATCAAACTCACGCTTATCCAAAGTCAAGAAAAACACAAAGTCCATCATGCTTGATAATATAGTTCTGTATCTAACAGTTCGGGGTTCTCAATATCTCTGAATGCATCACTGTCAGAGGTGGCATCAGACTGCATAAACCCAAATGCACATGCTTGAATGAATCAGTCCGGCAGTATAAACCCAATTGTCATTTAGACTAACATTTGGCAGGGATGTATTTTCATTTATACTGCATAAACCCAATATTTTAACTTGTGAGATTTCAGATGTGCATTCAGTGCTGCTGCTGCAACATGGACACAAGACAAAAATAAATCATGATGCTGCTCCTTCTATTCACTACCTCCGTTGCTTGCATACGAATCATGGGAGATAGATATCCCCAGGCAAGTGAAAGAGAAACCTAAATGAATGGTAAGAAGACGAAGCAAGCAGACATGCAATGTGAAGAGGCGGTCGTCGATCTGGACCTCCTTGGTGACAAAATCCAAACTGATGGTGGCCTGGTTCCTGAACTTGTTGTTGACGTAACTGCGCACACCAAACCGAGGAATCGGTCCCCGATCAGTACTGAAAATTGAAAACTGAAATCTGGACTAAAAATTAAATTGAAATATGAACCAAAAAACATGAAAACAAGAAATTAATATTCAAGACTTAAACTGAAAATAGGCTACACTGAAATTAAACTGAACTTGTTGGACTTCAACTGAACTTAAACTAAAAATGGGTTATAAATAACTTAACCTGGAATTGAACTGAAAATAAATTCTACTGCAATTGAACTGAACTTTCTAATCCTTTGACAATGGATGTCGTCACTAGGTACCCTGAAACCTAAACTAAGACTGAAAAAAAAACTAAAATAAAACTAGAGTAAACTAATAACTCAACTGAAAGTCTCAGGTAATAACCAGTGAGACATGGATCTTCAACTAAGCTACAGCTACCCATACGCTAATGGGCCGAGCATCCATGAAGCTGAAGCTAAAACAGGAAACTAATAGAAGGAACTAACAACCATAAAAAAAAACAAGCACAACAGGCAAGCATGCAATGAATTATAAATGTAGATTGCTGTATCAAGAAAGTTACATTGCACAGGGAATGAAAAAACACACTCACCTCAGTCAGCTACTACTATGAATTTTCTCTAACTCACTGAACCACTGTCATCCTAATGTACTTATGAACAAAACTTAAACAAAAATTCTGCTTGTGGGAGCAAGGGCTAATTTCTGGCAATGAACTAGACAGAGAGAGGCAACATGCCACTTTGGACTAGGAACAAAATGAAAAGAACAAAGTAAAACTGTTGCTGAACAAAATATATATGATGCACTGGTGCCTATAAAAAATAAGTAACATACGAAATAGTAGTATCAATTGCTAAATACTACTATATAAGCCATATCCCCAAATTTGATCCAATGAAATGAAAGATAAAAGCAAATACTCATCATGGTTCTCAACATTTAGCATCAGGATATCGGCAATAAATTATTTGTCAATATAATGCATATATAGGTAGCTAATCACACACACACACAAAAAAAAAGCACACCGCACAGGAGCACAGCACCAGCAACGAGAGACTGTATGAGGAGAGGATCTCAAGCAAGCAGAGGTGTACGTCAACCCAGAACCAGTAGTTGATGATCCGCAAGCTCATGCTGCTACTAAAGCTGATGACCGATGATTTCCTCTCCTTGTTTATTTATTCATCCTCTCACACACGTACAGTCACAGCAAAGTCTCGCTCACGAAATGCAATGGATCGGATAGCAGCGCAGATGCCGAGCACACACAACTAAACCAACATCTCTGGCACACGAAAAATCAAGCAAAAGCAGCAGACAAGTGCCAAACATAAAACACTAAAACTCAATAACCTCAAATACTGAATCAGGATGGGTTCAGTAACTACAACTGAAACTAGAATACAAAAAAAAATCCAACCCACCGTGAACACTAAAAACACTGCAGATCCGAGCTAAGTGGACACTAAAAACAACATAGATCTACAGTAACTTAGAGCACAGCACACAGATTAGGGATATGAGCATCAGATTTTTTTTTTGCATAATTCAGGGGAGGGAGAGAAGACATGAGATCGTGTTAAAAATACCTTTACAATCGGATGAATCAAGAACAATAATATGCAGAAACAACTGTCTAATTGATAGACGACTGAATAAATTTAAGGAAACTTTTGCCTGCACATGGAAAACCAAAACCGTTCAGAAAACAAAAAAAAAGGAAGCAAACTACAAGCACATAGGATTCGGGTAGGGGGAGAGTACCTGCGCTGCTGCGAAAACAAAAGCACAAATGAACTCTGAAACAACGGCGCGGGTTGGAGGAGGCAAACCAGATCTTCCACCGGACGATTTGGGGAAGGAGATGAATCGACAGACACCAAAACCAAAACCGGTGATAAATCGATTCAGAGGATAGGGGAGAGGCGCTACAGCATAGGCACCACCCCGCGGCTACAGCCAAAAGCGGCGCATCCCACCCGCTTCTGGAATCTGGAAGATGAACAGAAAACCCAAGGAGAGCGGCGCAGATTCTCTGACTTGCCGTGGTAAAGTTACGGGTGACTTTCCACCTCTCCGATGCCTTCCATTTAACATCCAACAGCAGGAAACAACTTTCTGTGTGTCGGCCGCTACGATGCTCGGCCCAAATAACATGTGAGCTCAGATAAAAATAAATAAAATGTATATAAAGTTGTACAGCTCAAAAAATTCTAGAATTTTGTAGTTCATGTCTTTTTCATTTAAATTCATTTTGGTGTCTAAAAATTGATATAATGTTTAGATTAGTATATCGATTATTTCAGTATTAAGATGGTTTTAAACGAAAATATTGTCAACTACAAGTGGGCCCATCTCTTTAGTATCTGCAATTTTCGTATGAATTTTATCTCTTCTAGTGGACATGCATGTGCGGCACGCACGTGTTTATGATTGTGATATAAAAAAGAGGATAAAAACATAAACTTTAGTCAACTTAACATTGTTTTTTATAGAATAAACTTAAAAATGGTTTGACTTATGACAACAATAAAACCTTAAAATAGTAGATATATATCACATAAAAATGAATTCCAACAAAATCAAAAGATCCAAATACATTCAAGCATAGCTTCACTATGTAAAGGTAAAGCTTGTCTTTAGAAAAAAATATACAAAATTTCATATTTCTCTGAGTTGTAATGAATTAATATGAATTTTATAAAGATTTAATTAGGTTTTAATAAATCTTTATTATTGAAAAAATGTCATTCTCGCAGTGGCATGCACCGACTTATAAATGCATAAATCTACACTATTTCCAAACCAACACATTGAGTCTTGGAATCTGGGAAATGAAACTCCCCACTGAGACTGGCTTATCTAGTTTGGCTGCTCACGATTTAGCTGAGCATGAGTCTCATAATATAGGCCCTAAATTCTAGTTCAGTATCAAAAAATCAAAGTGATGTGGATAATTCTTCGATCCGATCCAAATCCAAATTTTGAGGATATAGAGAAGAACTTTAATATCCATGCGGATACGGATAATTCGAATCCCAATATATGCGGATGCGGGATATGATATGGAATAGAAAAAATTCGGTAGATATGGATTATCCACAAATTCTATTCAGATTATCCTATGTTTCAAATAGGATATCCGATTTTCTTTGTTAGTGTCAACACTAGCGAAATGCAACACCGTGACATAGCAACACTAGCGAGTTGATTATTGGAGGCAATTTATTTACGCCGTTACATATAGCACATCTTTAAAAAAATTATCTTTATCCAAGCTTATACGTAAAAGTTATGATAAAAAAGATAAACTGCACAGAGAAAAAAATCCGGCAGCTATATAACTCATTTGTCAATGATCTGGGCTTTAATTGAACTGTTATTTGCATCCAGGTTAGGCACTAGTAGTAATAAAAAAGTGAAGACTTCATCAACCGTTGGATGAGAATTGGATGGCATCAAAGTGAGATAAAGTCACCCATAACTTTACCGCGGCAAGTCAGAGAATCTGCACCGAGGAGGGAGAACGACTGGAGTGGGATGGATACTTCCAGAGAGGAAGAGAGATAAATGAATAAAATAACACAGGTAGGCAGGTAGCAAACGAAAAGCAACCTGTTCGGCCGAGGGTGCGTGTGTGCATTCACGTGATCAGAGTGCATTCACGTAATCATTAAGCGGTCGAGGACTAAAATTTCATCGTGAATGCACCGTGCATTCACGATGAAATTTTAGTCCTTCAACCTGTTCGCTTGTTGGTTTTAGTCAGAGCTTATCAGCCACTTAACAGTGTTTTTCTCTCACAACAAACCAGTACTAACCGAATTTATCAGCCCAGAAACTAACCAGCGAATAGGCTGATTGATTCTCTATTTTGGCGTGAGTGCAAGTGCACCTCACGAACTGTAGCCACCTTCGCCTCTAGCGATCCTCATTGGAGTTGTTACTTCATCTAAAATTTTATCTGACTAAACTATCCATATTGTACCTCGGCCTTCTGGATAATGGATCCAAAAGATTATTGATAATGCTTGGCCACGGGCGTCAGCCCCACGAACGTCGCGCGCCTCACTTTGCCTCGCCGCTTCGGGCCACGCTGCTCGCTCCCGCCTACGACGCGCACCTCCTCGGTCTCTTACCCAACCCCCAACGTCGCTGGGATGCCTCGCAGCACCCGCCCCTACCGATGGCCACTGGGCGCACGTGCCGGGGTGCCTCAAGGTCGTCTCTGGCCGAACCAAGAGCACCCATGAGCGCGGCCGGATGCTAGTGGCGCTCGCGCACCGCCCCTCGTCGCCGGCTCCCAGCCTGACAGCCGAAATCGACCGGCCCATGCCTCCCCTCCCCTATGTTATAAATGTATGTTTCAAGTGTTTCAAACATTTCAGAGATATGTTGTAATTGTTTCATAGGCATGTTGCAAAAGTACAACGGAGATGTTGCACATGTTGCAAGTGTTTCAGAGGCATATTGCAAACGTTTATTCCAAATGGTTTATCTGTTCCAGACGTATGTTGCAAGCGTTTTGATCTTCGCACATATGTTGCAATAGTATGTTCTAAATGTTTCATCTGTTTCAGTCATATGTTGCAACAAGTATTTTCATGTTGTAAGTTGCAAGTGTTTTATCTAATATTGTATATGTTTCACACATATTTTGTAATTCAGACGTATGTCTCATTCAAGTGTTTTATGTTGCACGTGTTTCATATTGTTCGGAGAGTCAAGGGGCGCGGAAAGTGATGGTGACACGGCACGTGCACCATGGAATGGGGCGCGGCGAGTCGGAGGCCGGCGGACATGGCACGTGGTGCGCTTAGGGGCCAGCGGTCAAGGCGTGACGGGGCAGAGTGTGCGTGCGGGGCTGGGTGGGGCGAACAGCTAGACGGATGGGGGCGTGTCGAATCGAGGTGGGCAGGGCAGACTGCGCGTGCGAGGCGAGTTATCCGACGAGCGAGCGCAGCGGCAGGGATGGGGTGCGCGTGCAGGGCGAGGCGAATTAGCGGACGGGGACAGGCTGCACGGGTGTCAAACGTGCGTGTCCGTCCGATCGTCCAGACGCTAGTCGTATCGAAAGATTATAATATAGAGTAATAATGTGCATGTAACTTGACAGCTTGGCCGCTTGTGAGGGCTGTGCATGATGGGGCTAATTGGAGCACGGCCTCCTAGACAATGCCCGGCCAGGCAACAGGTGAACGTGTGGAGACACTGCCTGGCCCAGGTAGTAGCCGTCCGCCACTGTCAACCAAACAACCCTGATGATTTCACCATACCAATGCAACACCCTAGTTGCCACTTGTCACTTTCGGACTTTGACAACATAAATGAAAACAGAATTTTAAAGTCTAGAAAGAAATGAAGGACTTGGCCAATTAGTTGATTAGAGTTCGTCGCTTTAGATATTTTCACCAAGAACGAATGGAGGATCAATAAAACAAGACTTTGCTTCTTCTTCTTTTGCCCTTCTTTGGTTCTCTTTCCCATTTTTTTATCAGCTGGATTAGCAGAAAACCATGTAAGAACTTGTAATATTTATGATGCATAGGCCCCGTTCGCTCGGAGGAATCTATGAGAGGAAATCAGTCGTGAACAGTAACTTTCAGACATGAATAGTAAAATTTTGGCACCAGACGAGCGGGCCATAAAAGAAAAAATGAAGAATAAAAACATGATTACATTGGATATTCATATTTCCAAACAATGCTGAACATCTACAATTCTTGTCCAACCTAACGGTTATATCCCTAGAATACTTAAGGTATAAAATTGTCTATATATAGTTAGATCATGCTATGTAACTACAATCCAAGTGGCAATCATGCCCAACCTTCTGTTTTCTTGAGACCATGTCTAGCGTTCGTCTTGAGTCTTTGATCTGGCCCCTCCTCTTTTTCTCCTCCTAGCTCCTGACCTAAGGATCGGGGCCGAGTTGGAGGCTCCGATTAAATTTTTTTGAAGGTCAATGACAGGGGGGGGGGGAGGGGGGATCCCCACCTGAATACCGTTATTGATTGATCACTTTGGATAAAATTTTCAGGTTGAGGTTTTGGTTTTCGGTAGTAAGGTTTACTTTAAGCCTTCATCTTGAGCTTTTGCACAAAGATATCCCTTTAAGACCTCTCTTATAGGA